CAGTTTTGTCAAGCCAGCCTATGTGCCTCACTGCGAGGTTCCGAGCCTACCTGTTAAGGCTTAGGGGTCTTTTACAATTCCCCCTTCTGTACTGTTTTACTGTTCTGTATAGACCGAGTGTTACTGTACTGTTATCAAGGGATTAGGTCCCTGTACTGTGTGACTGTAAATTTTGTCATACTGTTCTGTACTGTTTATGTATGAATGCATGAAAAATCTTTTTGGCATACAGACTGTCACAGCTCAATGGACACTATTTACTTACTGTATTGGCTTCCGCCAGGCCCTGTACTCTGTTTTACTGTATTACTGTTCTGCAGGCCTTCGGTAATCTCGGATTACTGGCCGGTTACGGTGCTAAACCCATAGGGCCGGGTTTGGGTCGTGACACACCTCTAGCAAAGAGACATCTGTCTTGCACAAATTAAAGTGGCAAATTCCATTTTTTGTAACTATACTTTGACCTCCATACTTCATAATAATTATATTTTTACCCCAAACACATAAAATTATAAAATAAATTCTATATCTTTCTAAGTAGGATTAAATAATATTAATACCAAATTAAAAGTAATTAAACTTCTGAGTCGTTACATTTGCAATTAATTTTTTGTTTTTGAATAGTTAGCATAATGGTGCCGTGGCGATCAAGCACTACCAGCGGCAACGTCTGTGGCTGTTGTTGTAGTTTAGGTTATGATGTGTTTAGAGAAAATAGGTGAAAAGAATATGGAGTATATGAAGATGGAAAAAATTGAAGCCAAAGGGTATTATAGTAATTTTATCACAACAAAATTTGTTTCACTGTAACTACACAATTAGGGGTGCAAACTTGGCCCCGCCCGACCCATGTCCGGCCTTGCGGGCTCCTGTCAAAATTCAGGTAGGGCCGACCCACGGGCCAAAAAATTAAGCCCAGGTCCAAGGGTATTCGGGCCTAGGGTGGGCAGGCCTGGTGGGCCTAGGCCTGACCATTTTTTTTATTTTTTTAAATTTTTTCTACCAGAAGTCTATTACTTTCCACTAAAAAAGACATTAGGCTTTAGCACAGGCCAGGCTTTGAGTGAGTTTTAAGCAGGCCGATAGGCTGGGCCACAGGTCCGGCTCGGGCTTCAAAATGATGGCCCAAGCCCAGGCCGCAGGGCTCGGGCCCTTTTTTGATTCAAATATGAGATTAAAAAAAAAATTTAAAGTGTTTAAAAATATATTTTTTAATTTATTATCAAAAAAAATGTGTAAGAAATAAAGAGAATGAAAAGAAATTTTAAAATTTTTTTGTATGATTTTTAAAATTTTTAGCTACTTTTTAACTTGATAGTCTTAAAAATAATTTCCTCGTAAAACTCTCCTACGTTATTAATTTAAGGAAAAATATCATATCAGTGAAATTTTAATAAGAAATTTTATATATATTAATAATTAAAATTATAAAATTATTAATAAATATTTTTTTTTTCTGACACTCACTATAGTATAATTACCTCTTAATTTAATTTAAACCACTACAAAAGTAAAGCCATCTAGGGCTCTGGACTATCAATAATTACACTTGGGTTATGTTTTTGAATTCAGGTAGGAATTTAAAAACGAAAAAGAAAATGTAGTGAATTGTAAGTAAAATATAATTATATTGTAGGAAAATGAGATGTAATAGAGATGACTAACTGATAATTAAACATATAAATGAAAGAAAAAATTATCTTAAATATTTTAAAAGAGTGTCACATATGTCATTGGGTTTGAAAATTAAATCTAACTTTTTGAGTTAAAATCACACTACTTTATATTTTATTCAATAACCCAAATATTGTTTTACAGAGCCAATATTCTCTAAATTCTAGAATAATTCTGAGCGATATCTTCAATCATTGTTAGAGAATTTTCTTGAGTTGCTTGTACAAAAACTCTGGTATGTTCAAAGCATGCTTCATGGTGTATAAAAGATCAAGAAAGTTGAAGTTTCCGCAAGTCATGTGAGTTTGGTAAATCTAAATCGGGCCGGTATTGAAATTTAGGGGTTTAAGGCGAATTTCGAAAATGAAGCCCCTCTTATATTAAAAAAAAAGAGTTCACGGATAAAACGATAAGTTAAGACAACTTTTTTTATTTGTTTGTAACTACAAAAAAATTTACTTGCACATATAATCATTAAAATTATAAAGAAAAATTTACTTTCATATATTAAGATCGGAAGCAATCATTACAAATACTTAAAAAATATAAAAATCTGGTCTTGTTACTTTATAGTTTAGCAATATACAATTTACAATTGAACCACGATTAGTTCAATTGGGCCTATAGTATTTGAGTTTTTTCTTTTTTAATATTTAAAACACAATTATATTTGGGAGCCCCTTTTTTCTATCCAAATTTGGGAGCCCAAGGCGAAGGCCTCTCTTGCTTGCCCTCAGGGCCGGCCCTGATCTAAATGAACGATCGCAAGTCTTCTTATCTATGTCTTGTACATTCATAGGGTGTATTTGATTGGGGGATAAGGCGGACTATTTACTATTTAGATTGTAACTCATTGGAAGTGGATAATCCGGCGTTTGTTTTTGTTTTTAGTCCACCAAACATGGAATCTGGCCGGACTCCATATCCCTCATATGAGGGATTATTGCATCCTAAGGGAGGTGAGATTATTTTCACGGGATAATTTACTGTTGGGATTAGGTGGTGAAATGACCATTTTGACCATCTACTATTTAATTATGTATTATATTTAGTAAAATTCAATAAAATTTAAATGTCTCAATTTAAAAATAAAATAATTTTATTTAACTTTTTATTGATGTTTTATTTATTTAATTTTTTAAATAATTTTTTATAGATATTTTATTGATGTTTTATTTTAAAATTTTGTTTATATTTTATTTAATTTCTTTTTAACTATGATCAATAATCAAATTAATATGTGATTCAATCGTCATTCAACAATCACTAACACTGTACAACCAAAACACTATTGAATTAATAGCAGAAAATTCAACAAATTTATTGATAAATTTATCAGTGATAATCAATAATAATCAATGATAAATTATAGTGATAAATTTATCACTGATGAATGTATTCAGGCCGATTTTTTCAGTTTTTATACACAATATATCTAGTTCTAAGGTTGAAGATTGTAGATCGGCATTGAAATTGGTCAGAACTGAAGTTGCTAGTGAAGATCGATATCGAAGATAATAGATCAGTAATGGAGGAGGCTGATGGTGGCAACGATGGTGTTGAAGATAGTAGACGGATGATGGAGGAGTGGCGGTGATGGCAACGAAAGAGGAGGATGGTAGTGTGAGGCAAGCGACAGCGAGGGAAGAAGACGAGAATTGTGGTTGAGGCCTATGATATTGACGATGACAGAGGAGGTTAGTGGTTGAGGCTATGGGTAAAATTGCAAAAATGACTTCATTAAATTGTGCTGGACCTAGCAGGTAATAAGTTTTCTAAACAGGATTGGCCCGTAACTCCCCCATATTATTATCTATACTATTAGAGCAGCCATTGAGGCCCACAATGGGATATATCTATATTATTATCTATACTATTAGAGCAGCGTCAAGGCCCACAATGGGTCACAAACAGACCCGTGTGGTTGGGATTTTATTTCATTGATTTGAATTGTTCATTTTGTAATGTTTTTCATGTTTATTATTCATAAAAAAGTTAAATCAATCTAATAATCATAGCATGTTTAATTTATTATATTCAAATTATCAAAATAGAATCCATTGTGAGCCCCATGAGTCTTGACGACATCTTCGGATAATCCAAACCCTATATCGGATAATCCAACCCTATATATATACACCCAAATTCTTGAGGTCAGCCATATAATGATGGGTGGCAGGAAAAAAATTTACTAAATGATGATAAATATTATAAATATTAATAATTAAAATTATAAAACTTTTGATTAATGTTTAATAATTTTGGAAGATTACCAATCAATTTTTTTGAAGATTACCACTGATTGGTAATTTTTCCTATAATGATCTCGCGCTAATATAAAAAGGTAATTTTTTCTATAATGATCTCACCCTATGGTTTGGTTTGAGAAGTGTGTTAGTTTTTTAAGTTTTTGACTATTTTAGTTTGGGCTAAAAAACTTAATTTGGAAAGAATTTTTTGGCTTTTTCAATTTTTTAACTTTTTTTATGAAAGAATAGTGTAATGACTATAAATTAGATGTGATATTTTATTTTTTGTGACTAAAATAGCCTATTTTGTCTTTTGTAACTAAAATAACCAAAAAAACCTAGTTTAGCTCTTCCCAAACGGTGTATCTCCATGAAACTCTTTAAATGAGTCTTGTTATTTATTATAACTAATATTATTATATTTGAGTCACTCTAAAGGATTAGTTATTATAATAGTTATTTTAAAAAAATTCTTAAAGGCTAATTACATTTGAAGAGTTCTATGAGTCTCTTTAAACGGTTTGTGTGTATAAATAGATATAATAAATAGTAGCAAAAAATACATTGATAAAAAAAGAATTAGGCAAAATAAATAATTACCACTTTTTTTAATTTTTTAATTTTTAAAATTTAACTAATAAAAAATGAAGAGTATAATTGGAGTGACTCATACTTTTACACATAAAACTGATGGGTAACTCACATTCACTCTAAATATAATTCCACAATACATCAATTTAATTACACATTACCGCCTTGTGTGGTTTGTTTTTGAAAGAGTAATTTTAGAGAAAAAATTTCAAAATTTTGTTTGGTTTGGTGATTTTGAAAAAAAATTACCAAAATCATTTTGTCTTTCTTACACATCAATCAATCACTTTTTCTCTTTCCTCTATCATTCTCAATCACTTTTTCTCTCACAAACATCTACTCAACTACAATAAAATATCAAATCATCTTAAACTCTCATACTCCAAAATTATTTCCAAAATCTACAACCAACCAAACCAAAAAAATTTCTAAACTCTCTTTCTAAATTTTTTTTTGAAAATTTATCTCCCAAAACCAAACCAAACACAATTTTTTTTGCTAATTTTCTTCAACCCAAATTTTGGTTAGTAGAGTTTTTGCTATAAAAAGTGACCGCTTTCCTCCTTTTCAGCACAACTTCGAGTATAATTTCAAGTGTCTTAAAAGAATCACCAAAAGCAAATCTTCAATCGAGCTCCCCTGTATTCTTATTAGTCATCCGGGTCATGGCCCAACAACAAATTCCTCAACAGCAACAGACTCCACGAGAAAGGTTGATGGCAACTGCCGAAGCAGGAAAAATCGATGGCTTGTACGAGTGCATAAAAGACGATCCACATGTTTTGGATGGTATAGATAAGATCCCTTTTGTTGATACTCCTTTACACATAGCTGCCTCAGCTGGACATGCCCATTTCGCTTTAGAAATTATGAGATTAAACACATCATTCAGTAAGAAGCTGAACCAAGAAGGGCTAAGCCCTTTGGATCTAGCTTTGCGAAAAAGGGAAGTTCTCTGAAGAAATTTGGAGGACTTGGATTTGCCAAATAGGGAAGAGCTAAGCAAGTTGCGAAAGAAGTTCAGTCAGATTATAAGACAGCTCATAAATTTTGACAAGGAGCTCATAAGAGTCAAAGGAAGGGAGAGCTTCACTCCTTTGCACTACGTAGCTGAAAAAGGCGACATTGATCTTTTGGCTGAATTTCTATTGGCTTGTCCAGAATCAATAATGGACCGGACTATTCGAGCTGAGACTGCCCTGCACATTGCTGTGAAAAATTCCAAGCTAGAAGCTTGTAAAGTGCTGTTGGGATGGCTTCGCAGGTCCCTAAATCTACAATTGTTAAACTCGGAAGATGAGAAAGGCAACACTGTACAGCATATAGCAGTGTCCAATTCAGAAATTGAGGTATGCTATCCATCCATCCATCTATTTTTGGTTTTCATTATATGAAAATGTCTCTCTCTCTCTCTCTCTCTCTCTCTCTCTCTCTCTCTCTCTCTCTCTGCGTTTCTTCCTAGTTACTTTCTATTTACACCTAGGGTTGTACAAAATATTATCCAATCCACTAAAATTGTATTGCTCTGCATTAATTTGCACCGCTCTATCCGTTAATCGTGGCTTAAACTTTAAAAGTTATAATCCGCCTTCTGAATCGTTCCACTCTGTTATAGTTAATACATATATATTTTCTAACCTTCAAAGAAATATCAAAATAAAAATGAGTGTGATGGAGGTTTAAGATGTGAAATTTGTTACAAATTAGTAGTTATATATATGAAATATATTATATAAAATTAGTTTGTGTTATATATTAGGCAAATGTTTGATAATTTGTTAGAATATTCTTCAATTTCGTCCAAAATCGTGATTTGCCAATCCACTAATTCGCCAATCCACCATTCGGTTTGTAATTTACTCTTAAATTGCCCGAACTACATTGCGCACACCCTTATTTGCACGTATAAATTTTTTTAGAGTATTGCTATTTAGGCCAAAAAATTATACCAATTTTCTAGATTCACCGATAAGATGATTAGTTGATAATTAAATATTTTTTAATTATCAATCAATTATTTTCTTGAAGTATTATTAGGTCTAAAAGGTAGACCTGTATATTATTTTTCAATTTTTTATGACACCGATTTTATGCATTATAACATTGGCACACTATTAAAAAAATAATAATAAATAAAAAAAAAGAAGAAAAAAGAAAAAAGTTTGTGCATACGTATTGAGAGGGTAATTTGTAAACAAATTGGGCCGAGCTAGGAAGAGTATTCTTTGGGAGCTGGGCTGCGTAATGGGTCGAGATAAGGGCCGAAGTATGGACGACGGGTAGCTCGGTCCCTTTTTATCTGAGTACCAAACTGGCAAGGGCGTTGACCGAGCTACCTAAATACTAGGCCCAAGGGTTGGCCGAGGTGTTTGGTAAGCCAGATGGCCGAGCTAGGTATAGCTTGGTCGATGCTTTTATTCCATTACTTAGTTGAGCACAGAGCTGAGGTAAAGATGACAACCGAAGTAAAGAAAGTTCTGTAGCAAATCAAGGTAACATCAATGGCGAGGGCCGAGTTGTGTATAGCTCGGCAGGGTGGCATTTGATAGATCGGTTTTCGATCACATGATTCGAATGGCAGGGGACCAAGATAAGGCAGTTCGGTTAGGAATGTATAACTGAGGTAAAAATGTTCAGCCATCTCACTTGGCTTGCAGTGATGTGACTCCTAGTAGGACTCTGCTAAGGAGAGTTAGAGTCCTACTGGGATTGTGTAAACCATCTCACTTGGTTGGTAATGAGTAGGAGTATGACTCCTAAGAGGACTCTGCTAAGGAGAGTACAGTCCTACTAGGATTGTGCAAACCATCTCACTTGGTTGGTAGTGAGTAGGGTGTGTGATTCCTAAAAGGACTCTTATAAGGAGAGTTGAAAATCCTACTAGGATTGTGCCAAGTAAAGTCTATAAAAGCTCATGACCAAACCTATGTACAGGTATCCCAATTCTTACTCTAGAATACACAGAGCTTATTGTCTATTGTCTAGTTGCTGACTTAGGCATCGGAGGGGTTTCCGGCACACACCCGCCGGTTAGCTCACGAAATAATTCTTCTCGTATGATCCTGTTGATCAAGTTTGCACTCCTCCAAACAACGTTGCTTTGCCACCTGAAAACATAAACGTAAGCTAACCGGCGGGTGTGTGCCGGAAACCCCTCAGATGCCTAAGTCAGCAACTAGACAATAGACAATAAGCTTTGTGTATTTTAGAGTAAGAATTGGGATACCTGTACATAGGTCTGGTCATGAGCTTTTATAGACTTTACTTGGCACAATCCTAGTAAGATTTCCAACTCTCCTTATAAGAGTCCTTCTAGGAATCACACACCCTACTCACTACTAACCAAGTGAGATGGTTTGCGCAATCCTAGTAGGACTGTACTCTCCTTAGCAGAGTCCTCCTAGGAGTCATACTCCTACTCACTACCAACCAAGTGAGATGGTTTACACAATCCCAGTAGGACTCTAACTCTCCTTAGCAGAGTCCTACTAGGAGTTTCATCACTGCAAGCCAAGTGAGATGGCTAAACCCTATTACCTCGGTTATACATTCCTAACTGAACTGCCTTATTTCGGTCCCTTGCCATTCGGACCGTGTGATCGAAAGCCGATCTATCGAATGCCACCCTGCCGAGCTATACACAGCTCGACCCTCGCCATTGATGTTACCTCGGTTTGCTACAGAACTTTCTTTACTTCAGCTGTCATCTTTACCTCGGCTCTGTGCTCAACTAAGTAATGAAATAGAAGCATCGACTGAGCCATACCTAGCTCGACTATCTGTCTTACCAAACACCTCAGCCAACCCTTGGGCCTAGTATTTAGGTAGCTCGGTCAATGCCCTTGCCCAGTTTGGTACTCAGATAAAAACGGACTGAGCTACCCGTAGTCCATACTCCGGCCCTTATCTTGGCCCATTACGCGGCCCAGCTCCCAAAGAAGACTCTTCCTAACTCGGCCCAATTTGTTTGCAAATTACCCTCTCAATTACCCCTTAATTCCATCTGCGTAGCATGATTGGGATAATTTTTCCTCCATCCGAGCTAAGAACGCCCCCACTCTGCTGAGCTAAAAAGTTTGTTCAGCCCCCAATAAGCCTTGTCAGTTGCTTAACATGTCCTTCCACTAATCTTGTACGACGTCATTCCCAGAATACATGGCGTGCCCCCAAAATCCTCGTTCTCCTGTTACCACCGTCATGGCGAAAATTTGAATAGCCTTACTTCTTTTTTTTCAACGTATATATCCTTCGAGTTTGCAATCATATGGCAAGTTGTTCTTTCAGTGTCTCGACAAGCAGACTAACTCGGTTTATACTAACCTTGCCAACCTGCTTTGGCCGAGATGTTATCTCGGTCTAGGAAAAATTTTGTTGGTCAAACCTGCCAACCTGCTTTGGCTGAGGTAACCATCATCTCGGCCAAAGAGTTCAAAAATTTGTTGATCAAACCTGCCAACCTGCTTTGGTCGAGGTAACCATCATCCTGGTCAAAGAGTTCAAAAGTTTATTGGTCAAACCTGTCACCCTGCTTTGGCCGAGGTAACCATCATCCCGGCCAAAGAGTTCCAAAAATTTTGTTGGTCATACCTGCCAACCTGCTTTGGCCGAGGTAACCATCATCCCGACCAAAGAGTTCAAAAAATTTTGTTGGTCATACTTGCCAACCTACTTTGGCCGAGGTAACCATTATCCCGGCCAAAGAGTTCAAAAATTTGTTGGTCAAACCTGCCAACTTCCTGCAGCCTAGATCCTCATCTCGGTTTAGGAGAGCTAAATGTTGGTTATTCCTGCCAACCTTCTTCAGCGCGGATCCTTATCTCAGCTTGAAGAAGAGCTAAATGCTTGGTCATTCCTGCCAAACTTCTTGATTGCCCCCCAATAGGGCAAAGACTTGTTGGTCAAACCTGCCAACTTCTTGCAGCCTAGATCCTTATCCCGGCTTAAGCGAAGTGTTGGTTTTTCCAGCCAACCTCTTCAGCCCAGATCCTAATTCTAGCTGAAGAGAGCTCAAAGTTGGTTATTCCGGCCAACTCTGAGCGAAGTGTTTGGTTTTTCCAGCCAAACGTCCTGCAGCCTGGATCCTTATCCTCGGCTTAGGAGAAGTGTTGGTTTTTCCAGCCAACCTCTTCAGCCTAGATCCTAATCCTAGCTGAAGAGAACTCAAAGTTGGTTATTCCGGCCAACTCTAAGCGAAGTGTTTGGTTTTTCCAGCCAAACGTCCTGCAGCCTGAATCCTTGTCCTCGGCTTAGGAGAAGTGTTGGTTTTTCCAGCCAACCTCTTCAGCCCAGATCCTAATCCTAGTTGAAAAGAGCTCAAAGTTGGTTATTCCGGCCAACTCTGATTTTATTTAGAAAGAGTTGGTCAATCCTGCCAACCCACTTTGCCCCTAATTGGGCAAAAATTTTTACTTGGTTAGTCCTTCTTGTCAACCGTGCTAACTTTTGTCGAAGGTGTTCTGTTCGACATCGCTGTTTGTGCCGAACTCCGCCTTGGTGTTCGTTCTGAATCTGGTCACAAATGCCTCCGCTAGTTGCCACGAAGCTATGCTACCTTCTGGTAACCTCTCAAACCACGTTAAACCCAGGTCACCAAGGCTGAGGGTAATGGTGCGTTCTCTATTGTCGGAACGAACGGTGAGCTCTGCAACCTTGCTAACGGTTTGTCTGCTGGTTCATAGGCAAGGCATGGCTCTGGAATTCCAACTTCGACACTCCCATGTGTTCTAGGAACCAATCGGTGTAGTGCAGAGACTCTGCGGGGGGTTGCGAGCCTAAGTGTCTTTTCTCCTTCGAGCCCTTTCAGTTTTCATTCTCTCAGGCCTAGAGTAGCGTGTCCTGGAAGTCTTTGATTGTGTATCACTCGACCTGAGGCTTTTACTTTCAGTTTGTGATAGTGTGACTTATCTGTCACGATCTTTTGAGTGACAAGAGTGTGTGTTGCCTTTTATCTGGTGCTTCGTCGTCTCTATGTCAGCCGCCATTCTTCTTATTACTTCGTCTTGCTCCCTTACGTGATCTTCAAGAACTTGTGGATCCATTTTCCGCCTCTGTCTATCAGGGCTTTGAGAGCGATGTGGACTTGTGCCCTGTCTTTCTCTTGCTTCTCTCCGCGGATTCCTTCGCTGGGGATCTAATTCTGCCATGGGTGGGATAGAAGGTAAACCTTCGCGCCTCCCACCCCTTTCCGGTGTTTGCCCATCAATAGCAGATTGCGACAAGTGTTTATTGTGCGCCATTGCTTTCAACTAGAGAGGAAAACTTGATCAAGAGGTTTTTCTCTTTATGAAATTCCCACAAACGGCGCAAATTGTACGAGCACGAAATAATTCTCCTCGTATGATCCTGTTGA